GAGAGCGTACGTAGGTATGTCATAGATATGCTACAGTAAAGTGATTATATATGCCTATGTACATTGCATTTGTTGGGTTATTAAATTGCAGGTGAGGGTGGGTGAGACCGGGGGGAGGAGGGGCCCGAAGGTGATTGCTGCCCCAGGGCCCGACCAGGCTCTCGACGGCCCTGTGTATAATATCAATAGTGTAGCTATCTAGATAGTATGGTCGATGAATCGTGAAGAGGAAACGTAATTGAACAGCTATGGCGGAAGTGTATACACCGAAGCTCGATCGGAAAGAATCAAGATTTACTTTCGCTTTCGTTACCACCCAGAAATTTCCCAGTAATTCTGATAGATAACGCAACATTTGTAACATGCAGGTTGAGCATTACGAACGCTGTGTCGCCATGAAAATAAATCAATATTAAAATGCATTATACACGTATATTCATTACTCATTACAAGACCATGCTACAAACAAGATAATAATATGATTATAATAATATTGTTTTTCTTCAGCTGTTTCCACTTCCGTTTCTTGTGTTTACAGTTGCCATTGGGGACCACAATTCCCGAGGAGTGCCCAATAAAAATGTTCTCCCGTTTTGATCCTCGGGGTAGACTCTACTGTATGACATGTAGGCCTACTCGTAATGTGTTCAGAATCGGTTCATCCGGCACGCGGCTAGGACACGCTTGCCGATACCTGTTCTAGTAGGTTCCATCAGAGACTCTGGTTCCATCTACCAAGACCTACATGACTCAGCCTAGCCTTGCGTTCCTTCACCTCCACCCACTCAATCAGTCAGTCAGTGGGCCACAGTGTCTGTAGGTCTATTGTGTAAGCTTAACACAATAGAAAACCTGGAAGATAACTCGCGGGCAGTGTTGCATACAGACGTAAGTCATTTTTGGCGGCCTTTGAGAACTCGAAAAACAAAACCAAAAAAACAACAAAGTCCATGATAAACTACAAAAACAAAAGCATCAATTACCACCCTCCCCCGCTGAAAATTAACGACCATAAAGAAATAAACAAAATTACATTACATTAAAAATAAAATAAAAATAATTACTTGGTTCTCTCTATATAAAATGAGAAGAAGAAAAAAGAATAGATCTACTCCGCGTGCCAGAGAACCAAAGAAAAAAAGAAATGAAAAGAGAGGCAAAACAAGATCATGAAACTATCTTACTATGATGGGTCGGCTCGAGGTTGCACACAACAAATTCTTACCTTTGATTTCAACTGAGCCTGTCTGTCTGTCTGTCTGTCTGTCTGCCTGTCTGTTTCAGTGTCCTTCTTTCCTCTCTCTTTCACTATTTCCCTGCATTTCTTTTCTTTCTCTCCTTGTTATCCCCCCCCTCTTCTCCCCCGCCCTTTCTCTCGTTCTTTATCTCTCTCTCTCTCTCTCTCTCTCTCTCTCTCTCTCTCTCTCTCTCTCTCTCTCTGTATGTGTCTTTCTGTCTATCTGTCTCTCTTTCTCTGTGCTCACAGATAAGATAAGAAGCCCCGAGGGGTTCCCAACCCGGCCGTTATATACCAATAATTTATTTATCAGATGTGATCAATAGATCTACCAACAGTCAAACAATGATTGGACAGTAGGGTCATTTCATGGAAAGTGACATAAGCAATGCAAGGAAGATAAACTGAGGGAAAAATCCGAGGCCCGCGGTGAGCTGATTTTTTTTTTCATTTTTAAAGGAAGTTTGCGTAATATTCAACAAAATGAAAAAACAAACAAGCACAAACAAAAAGCAAAAACCAAACTCACCCTCTCCTTTATTCCCCTCCCAGAAAAAACAACAAACAAAAAAGAAAAGCTAAAAACAAACAACAGCAACAACACAAAGACAACAACAACATTTTTTAAATAAACCCGAACAACCCAAAGACAAAGCAGAAAACAAAAGGAAAAGAGTAACGAATGCCTCTATATATTTAGTATTACTAGATCTAGATCTACGCCTTAGAAGTAGTTTGTTCAGCAAGTTACAAAGTAGGCCTACTAGTTCTAGGAGATTTGACGTCTTTGGTAGTTCATCATCTCCGCTTTACGTTTCTCACTTTCCATGGATGGCCCAGCATGACCTGACAGACTTTGTGGGTGGCTGAACGGCGACACTGGCAGGTTTAACTTCTTTGCCAACCCTTTGTTGGTTTTTTTTAAAAAACGTAGGTGTTTTTTACGCCCTCATCAACACATTTCGGAGGCGTACCTCGACCCTGGCCGTCCGCTGGGCTGAGAGA